TTTCCATTCAAGTTCTGCTCACAATTGGCGTATCCATTTGCAAGTTGTGAGTGATCTTTCAGAATTTTTAAATTAATACTTTTGTATTTAAGAGCTACAATGGTTCAAGAAAGGTAATGCAACCAGGTGTGCCCCGAAGGAGATTTCATTCCGCAACTTGAACAATCAAAATTTATGAGAGGGACAAATGTTGAATTTTTGAGGAGGGCACGTTTTTGCAATGAAAAGTTTCAAACCAGAGAACAAGAGAGAATCATGGAATCAGAGCGCAGCAAATGTAATTGTAGGAGATCTACGATTTTTTAAATTCTACTTCCACTCACACTATTTTTAAGAAGAGGAGAACCATAAAATACCTTGAAAAAGGGGAAGGTTTATGTTCCATCGACTTTGGATGTGGGGATGGACACCCCTGGATGCAACCTATGTCTGCTCAATGGAGGGCGAGAAGAAACAGATAAAACTGATTTCGAAAACACCATCAACATGTTTGCATCGCACAAGGCCAGGAAGGTGCAATCGTTAAAGGGACTTACTTTTCTTATAAACTGGAAAATAAATCAGATTTTTAAAATTTGTGACTGTGACATCTTGAACTGATAGCCATCTTAAAAACTTAATCAGGTTCGTACGATTTTTGTTTTTACCTAGACTATTCACACACAGAAAGGTGTCCATCCCATCCTATGGTTGATGGTGCATGAACCTCTTCCTCCCATTCCAAAATATTTTATTTTTCACCTATTCTGAACGAAGGTATAATTAGAAAAGTCGCAGATCATATAGAATTAGATTTGTTGAGGTTTGTTTAATGTTTTCCTTTCCTACTTATGTTTGAAGATTTTCTTTCCGAAAATTCATAATCCCATCAAAATATCCCTCATTCAAAAATTTCGATGGCGCAACTTATCCCCTTCTAAAGACCTCTGCACATACACTGACCATTTTGCGAAAAGTGGTTGCTTAAACTCAAGCGATCATTATTCGTTGAAAACTCGAATTCGAAAATTTGGACGATTGCAATACTTTCTTCCCTGACTATGATACATATATCCTTCCTTTATAATGCAACGGTAAACTATTAAATATTCAATAAAAAAATTTTATGATACTAAAATATTTGTATTCAAAATATTTATCCTCATTTTTTATATATTTTTTCCCAGCTTGATATCAACTTTTCAATTCCAGAACTGCAAAATTCAGAGTTCTGTGAAGAAGTGATGTCAGAAAATGGGTTTTTGATCTGAACAACATTTTTAAAAATTTTATCTTTAAGGAAGTTGTCCAAATTTCTCAACTGATGGAAATCTGTAGGAGATAAGTAAGGCTAATAGGTTGGGCGTAGGACTTCGTAAAACAGCTCGTTTAGTTTCTTCATTGTCTGTCGTGAAACATAGGTTAACATAAGTCTGTCGTGTAAGAATATAACTTATGTCCCTTCCGATCAACCAATGCAGAATGTTTGTTGACAAGTTTTTCATGCATTATGTCAATATCACTGTAGTAAGTTTTATTATGATGGTTTCAACTCTGGTTAAAGAGGAGGAATGAATTATTTCTGCCATCCCCACATAGAAAACAATAATGTTTTTGGATGTAAATTTGTTCAAACCACTGACAAATGGTCTATTTGGTACAACACCCTTATCCAAACCCCAAACGCCGTGGTTATGTTTTTTGCAGGTTGGATTCCGAGTGTCCAAGATCAAAATCATAAAAAAAAAAAAAAAAATTACTCGAAAATTGTGTTCCCATGGATATATTTGATGACGTACTAAATAATGTGTAATCAATAGGAATGATAGTAAATATTATAAGAAAAGAAAGAATTAATAACGGTTCATTATAATCTGTAAATATAAACATCTATATATATAAAAATGAATATATGTCTGTCTGTCCGTCTGTTTGTCCTTAGTGCATTATTAGACCATTCAACCGATCGCCATGAAACTTTGGGAAGTTGTTCCGTACACTCCTGGGAAGGTTTCTGGCATAGTACTTCTGTCTTACGATAATTTTATATATGTAAAAAAAATAAAAATGTAAATGTTTTTCTGTTCAAAGCCGCAAAAAATATGTCGCTATAAACTGTAATGCCAAAACGGCTTTACCGATTTTAATCAAACTTGGCTAAAGTCTTCCCCTTGAAACCCTTTTAATTTATGTGTATAACATACTTTCCCGAAAACAAGCTGAAAAATGTTACGATGAATTCAATATTTTATTTGACGATAACTAAAGAAGTACACAATTTTTGACTGATAATACCCATATTTATATGAAAGATTTCTGAATTGCTGACAAAATAAATAAAAAAATCATCGAAATCGGACGGTTCGTTGCAGAGCTATTGAGTTTTAAATATTTACTGGTTTCTCCTCAGAAAAGGCCGTTTCCTTTTGCTTCCCACTACCGAACGTCGGCAAGGATTTTTTTTTTATTGATTAATCGAAAATTTTATAATTACTATAGTAATTGAAATTATCATTTGAAGAATTCATATGATTCTCCTTATGTAGGTCAATACTATTATACGTTTTTTTAATTAAGTTTTATAAGTTCAACTCAGACTGTTTCTGATGATTATGAATGACGGCGTATTCACTCAGATGATTATGAATTTCAATTTGAATCATGAGAAAAAAAATCATTAGAATTATTTGAATTGAAGCCATTTTACAGACAAATTTGTTTCCCAACTTTTTAAAAATGACAGATGTCCTTTGCTACTAATCTACTCATATGTGCTTTCTATTTTCTTTCTTTTTCATTTTGCCAGGCTAAGCCACAGCAGCGCGTGGCCGGGTAAAGCTAGTAAACCATAAAACATAAACAACAAAAGTCCACTAATCCTACTTTGAATTTCTGACCTAATAGAAACGGACATTTCATATGAAATGATCTAATAAATTGTTATTTTAATAGTCGCGGTAAAGTATAAAGTTTCACTATTGATTGGACTATTTTTTTTCTTCTTAAAAACAAAACTACAAATCTTGTAAATGCATATTTGCTGAAGGTGTCAAAGCAATTAAGGCTTCCTTTTAAACATTTGTTTATTATTTTCCATAAACTTTTCGATATTATGTCCATACATATATTCAGAACTTTCTTTTCTTTATTATTTAGATATAATTATTTATAGTATAAACTTTCCTATAACCCTCATATTACTACCCATATTATATATTCGAAGAATATTGTAAATAATTGCTGTATGGTAGAGATCAAGGTTAATGGTAATGGACCACTTCCACAGCGAATTGAGTCTTCTGCCAGCACCCTTGGTGTATTGATATCAGTACCAGCGATTATTTAGTAAGATATCTGTTATTTATAATAAGTTTACTGAGTTGTGGTGTTTATCTGTAGCAATAACATAGCGTGTATTTCCTGAATTTCATTTAGTTAAATAATTTATATGTTTCTTAAATTGGACCAAAATAAACATCTTTTCTATAGAGGTGAGGACTATCGTCAAGTTTTACATTTTTGGAGGAGGGGGCTTCAGTCCGAAAGTTTTTTTCTTTATATATGTACAACAATTATTACTGTGGAAGAAGAAGAAATAAACAAACTATCTATTAAATGGTGTTTAACTAGTTATTGGAGTGTTATTAAACATGAGCAATAATACTTTTATAGATAATTGTTTAGTATATTTTTCATAAGGTATGGGTCATGTTTTTACCATTTTGGGGGGAGGCTTCAGCCCGAAAACTCCCCCGTAGATTTGCGTGTGGATATAAGAAATGTCGGCATTTACAATATAATGGGCATCTAAGAGCTACAAAAAAGTTCCTATAAACTATGATCCAATGTTTCACAGAAAAGAAAGAAATTTAAATTTTATGTTTTTAAAGTAAGTAATGTGACTTTAAGTAAGTTCTTAAAAGTAAAAAACACAAAGTTTTCTTTGGATTATTTTCTTATATTTTTCTTGACACGTCACCACATTTAGCAGTTATAATTTAAAAAGAATCAGAATTAAGAATATTTAAATATTTAGCTTAGATTACTCACAGAAACAAGTATGGAAAAACGATAAAAAAAAAAAAATTAGGAATCTTCAGCCTCGATTGCTTTTTAAGTTTGTAGACGTTTGTTTCCCTTTTTAGAAGAAATGATAAAGTTCCCATTCCGATATTCAGAGCTTCTTTCAGCCAAAAACTTGCCGGTCATAAACAGTGGTGGATCTAGGAATTTTCAAAGCGATGGGGCGCACACACACAGGCACGCACGCACACGCTCGCGTGCTCACACACACTCACATCCCTCCACATACATAAAGAAATATGTTTTTGATTTTTCTGTTTCGTCCAGTATTTTAGCGTTCATAGCACTCAAGCAACTACTTTCAGCAACAATATTTTTAGTGTAAATATTCACATTTTTTGAGAATAAAGTATAAATAAAATTAATTATTTAATACAATTCACTTTTTAATTAAAATAATATCAATCAAAGTGATATTAAAAAAAAAATTAAAATAAAAAAAATCTGGTTTGCGCATCACACGACTTTAACTAATCACCCTCTTATTAGCAGAAATAAGTATTTTCAGACAAATGGGAAGTGAAAGTGAAAACTTATAGACGCTATATTTATTTACATTTCATTGTGGGTATTTTTATTTGTTTAAATATCCTTAAATATACAAAATTTAATTTTTATATCGCTGTAATCTATATAATTAAATATTAAATAATACCAATGATAGCATTTATGAAAGCCGGATATGTATATGTACATAATATTGTCGTAGTCTGTATTTTATTAAGCTCATGTTACGTATGGAAGCATGTCCTAATCTTTCGGGCGAGCTCGGGTAAACTTGGGAGCCCTGGTATTCCTTTGGTTCCTCCAATTCAACTATTATCCGTTATCATCTCTTATTTCTCCTTTAGCTTATCAAATTCTTTCATATTTTATATTTAACTATATTTTATATCAAAGATTAATGTGTTCAGGTGTCCACTTAATAAGCAGCCGATATGCTGGTAGAGGCAATAGTGGTATTGTTTATCGCGTTGTGCCTGTCATACTCCTGGTTCTTCGGCTTCTGGGACAGGAGGAAAGTCGTTAATGTCAAATTCGAATTTACCTACCTTACGTTCTCCAGGGCGTTTATCAAGAATGAACATCTTCACGATATCTTTGCCGATATTTACAGGTTAATTATTTTACACAATATATTATTTTAAGAATTATATGCAATAATTATTTCATTTCAGGAAGTACAAAAGCTATGGTACGGTCGGATTTTACACAATACTCTCTCCAATGCTGCTAGTGACCGATCCAGAATTGGTCAAAGACGTCTTAGTGAAAGAATTCAACAAGTTTCATGACACCGTAATGGAGATGAAGAAGGAAGTCGATCCTTTGTTAGCATTGAATCCGTTCGTTGCCAAAGGAATGGAAAAGTGAGTACCGAATCCTTCCATTATAAATGAGGCTTACGTCAGGTAGAAATGTTTTAAAATAATTATATTTATTGTTCTAAACTCTGAACCTTAGTATTAACAACTTCCAATACATTTCGCTCATTTCACAAAATATTGTTTTTTTGGCTAGGATAAATATACTATTATCGATTTCGAGTTTTACAATTTTTTTTATATTTGTTTATTCGTTTATTATTATAAATTACCAACAAGATTTATCATCTTATCTTATTTGGTCAAAAAATATTTTTAAAGAAATATATTTACATATACAAATAAAAAATTTCATACACTACTAATAGCCCAGTAAATTTAGGAAAAAAATATGTCATAGGAAAAAAATATATTTAGGAAAAGAAACATATAAAGAAAATTCATACTTGGCTGTAAATGTCGGAATCAGTTCTTTATCGAATCCAGAACAAACCATGAAAAGTCCCCTAAAATCCCATGTTCGCTTCCATCCAAAATGGAGGGTAAAAGATGGCCACCATTCTGTCTTTCCTCATATCTACGTGAAAAGCCATCGTTCTTGAATTCCAAAAGTAATCGGAAAGGATTGTTGTTTTAGATTCCATCGAAGTTCACCTGATAAAAAAATGATAAACGAGCCGTAAATTTATTTATTTGGTGTCAATAAAGCGACAATTTCATGATTTTAGTTCTGTCATTCATCATAAATGCAACCGATTACACAGCATGGAAGGTCACTTTTTCCGTATTTATGCTTATGTCAGGAAAACTATCCTTCGCATAGACAAAGACGCTTTTTACAAAATTAAAGCTGTTAAAATTTTCAACATGATTGATCATACACTTTTTTCGCTACCTCGCTTAATTTCCGAGATATTCGTCCTCAACTATCGCTAATTTGGAAAAAAAAGGTATCTTATGTTTTTTATTGTATTTGTAGCTAACTCTTGATTCCTTCGTTCTATGATTAGGTCATAAGGAAGAGAGTTTTTAATAATTAAATTTTCTACAAGAATATATATTATTTTATTAATTTATCTTCAATGGTTCAAAAGTTAGATCAATTATAACTTAATATGTCAATTACGAGATTTTGCAAAAAAAAAAAAAAATATACATATATATAAATAACAAGGAATATCATTTCTCGGAATTGACAGCATGGCATAACTCTGGTGACTGAGACTCAATTGATTCCAGAATTATAAAGCATCAAATATGGATAAATGTTAAATTATCAAAACATAAAATTACAACATCTAATTGATTCTTATTTTATCAATACACAAAGTTTGTAGTATTTAGTTAAACTTTCGCGGCAGTCAGTAGCGGATCCAGGATTTATTTTTTTTGGGGGGGGCTTCAGCCCGAAAGTTTTTTTTTTTCATAAAAATAACAATAATTACTTCGTTAAAAACAGAAATAAACTAACTACCTGTATGAAATAGTGTTTAAGTGATTCCTAAAGTCCTTTTAAATGTAATAACACGAACAACAGAGATACACTTTAAGAGATACTTTTTTAATTTTTTTTTTCGATTAAACATGGTTATACTTTACGATTTTGGGGAGTGCTTCAGCCCGAAAGCCCCTACCCCCCGTAGATCCGCCCGTGGCAGCAGTGACAGCTACTATCACATTAAATGGCATTTGTAAGGAACAGAATTGATACAGCAGGTGATTGGTAATGGATTGACCCATACACAATCGCTCAATCATAATCAATTATCGAACATATAAATGTAATCATTGCGACACATTACAGATGGAAGGAGCTCCGAAGTATCCAAGCTTCAAATATGACCACAGTCAGGTTCAAGGAAGTTATCCCCATCATGTATAGAGTTGCTGAAAATATGGTTAACTATTTGGCAGAAAAGAAAATGGAACCTATCGGGGTATTCATTTGTTATTTATTTCATTATTAATATAGTTTTATAAAACTGTTATGTTATATTTTTAACTATTGTGATGCAGGCAAAGGAGCTGTCGTTCCTGTACACAGTGGACAATTCGTGTTCATGTGGATTCGGTGTAGAACCAAGTGCATTCACCGACCCGGAGAACAATTTTGTCAAGTATGCCAATTCGGATAAAATATTCAAACCTTCGCCCTATACGATGCTCTTTCACTTTTTGTTGCCCAGGATGGCCAACATTCTCAAGCTAAGGTAATTTATAAAAGAAATTAATACAATAAAATATTATTAAATACTAATTGGTTGACCGTATAATATTGAGTAAAGAGATGGTCGAGGATGACGGTCATAATAAAACGTTTCGACCCAACAAGGCAGGTCTTCAACAGGGCTAGAAATATAATTTTTTATTAATTTAAGGTGTTTTTTTTTTGTTTTTTTTATGACCTCCACCTCAGACTATCTCGTTCCTCAATACAAAATTATAATTCAAACTTTATGATTTCTCATGGTTAGAAATGAATTTTAATTGAAGGTTTTATCACGCCACAAATAAGAGGGTGATGTGAAAAGTTTCCGACAGTAACGTGAAGATGGCAGCACTCGTAAATAAAAGCAAGTGAATTTCGTTGTTCATCTGTTGGCAGTTACCCACCAAAGTTTCAGCCATTTTGGAATCGTAGTTTTTATGTAACAGTCGTTGGAGTGAGTTTATGTGAGTGTTTTTGTGAAAATGGAAAAAATCGAGTATCCAGGTGTCATAAATATTTGTTTGTGAAAGGCAATACGCCTACGCAAATCAAGGATGAATTGGATTCTGTGTATGGGGACTCAGTATCCTCATTTACCAAAGTGAACTTTAGGGCAGCTGAATTTAAACGTGGCCATAAGAGTCCGGGAGACCATGAACGTTCGGGACGTCCAAAAACAGCAAATACTGACGAAAACATCGCCAAAGTTCACCAAATGTTGCTAGACGACCGCCGAATTAAACTGAGAGAGATAGCAGAGGTTACGAACATGTCAAAAGAACGTGTTTTTTACACATTAAATCAACATTTAGATATGAGAAAGATGTCCGCACTTTGGGTGACGCGTTTGCTCACGTTAGACCAAAAATGTGTTCGAATGAATATTCCCAACGCTGTTGGCGCAGTTTAGGCGCAATAAATCCGATTAATTACTGTTGATGAAACTTGGATACATCATTATACGCCCGAAACAAAAATACAGTACAAACAGTGGACTGCAAAGGGGGGCCCGTAGTTACATTGTTTCGGCGAATTCAAGCAATAGGCCCAGAATTCAGGATTAAAAATAGATAGGGCGAAAATAATGTTTTGCTTTTCCCAAAAATTCGAGGAACAAAAATAAAATCAAAATTTATAACAATTAATCTACAAGAATACACGGGAGTAATAATCTAGCAATTTATCGCCCTAAAACCCCTACCCTAACTACCTACATAAATGAAAAAGTATCAACCAAGAAGAATCAATCAATAGGTATAGCCGATTAGATTGTTAAGCTAAGGGACAGATACGCAAGTATTTTACTATGGCATATATACCTATAATTAAAATTTTAGTTTATAAATAAAGATAATTACATATAGCAACATATCATAGGATTTTATGATTCATTTAGGTACACTATCCTATTTCTATCTGAATATTTTATCACATCTTCCGCGGCAAATTTGAAGCTTCGGAGAATTCAGAGTTCACCTCACTACCTGCATTCTTTAAACAAAAATAAATAATTGCTTTGTTAACATATTTTCAAATACACTCATGACCCATACGCAAAAAAGAAACAACTTATATATTGTATAAACATATATGCGCATATATGCGCCTTTCATTCTAGTCATCATTCCAAACATCAATCACGTTCAGTTTTGACTATTTCATTATTTAATCATTTCTTGCCTGAATAGTAATAATAATAAGTAATTTAAAAAATAAATCATTTTTAAATCAAAATTGGCTAAATTCTGTATTCACCGTAACTTTTTTTTCAGCTTCTTTTTGGAGAAGTATGATATATACATAAATTTAAAGGGCTTCAAGGAAATAGTTTATTAGCTCCATTCTTCTACTTTTAGATATGTCTCATGCAATAGCTTAACAATGCTATACAAAATATTTTTGTATTATTTCATAGGATTTCGTCCGAAGATGCAGAAGAATTCTTTAAATCATTCGTTCAAAAGATGATCGAATACAGAACCAGCTCGAACATAACGAAAAACGACTTTATTAACTACATTATGAAATTAAACCAAAAATTAAAAGAAGAAAATAAACCAGGTGGATAAATAATGCATATTTCATTTAAATATGTAATTTTTAAATAAATATATCATTTTATTACTATTTTCTTCTCAAGTGTATTCAAAGTTGGAGTTGGCAGCACACTGCTTGACATTTTACGCCGATAGTACGGAAACTTCATCAAACCAGCTGGCTTTCTTCCTCCTTGACTTGGCGAACCATCAGGACGTCCAAGACAAGTTGCGAAAAGAAATTTCTTCGATATCAAAATCTCCTATCGACTTCGATCTAGAAAAAGTCAACTCCATTAACTATTTGAATATGGCGCTTAACGGTATGTTCAAATCATTTTATATATATCCATTGTTTCTAATCAATGTAATAATTACTTTATAATTTTATAATGATGTTTTTGTGGTACAATTTTTTTTTCTCCCTTTGCCGCGGGGGCTATACGGTTTTATCCCGGGCCAGAGGAGAGGTCGTGGGGCTTATGCCAGAATTATAAAGCTCCTCCGCCACCGGGATGAGAAATCGTACTTATTTCATCAGGTTAAAATCGGTTTATCTAGTTGCCGGTCAATGCGTGATTTGCACATCCGTTAGTCCTCTCGGCTACCCCGCTCCCAAATAATTTAATTTTAATAAACAAATTATCGTATTTTATAACAAGTACGTGTCAATCGCTATTGGAAAATGAGGCTCCTCTCTCCCACCTATATTTCGAATGGTTCCGTATGCCCGGATGGTAAAAATCTTACACATTTTTATTAACAAAAAGTTTAACAATATATACAAGTTCAATATTACTGTTTTAGGCCCACAATATTCCTTTTTTTATAATTAATTCCTGCTAAGCCGCGTTTACACATTACCAAAACCATGGTGAGCATAAGCGTTTTAAAGTTTGGTTGTGCTTGGCTCACGAATTTTCCCCTTGGTTGGCGCATTTTCCCAATATGTTTATCAGATAATTATATAAAGAGTTAATCGGCACACCGGAATCGCACTAGAATTTTAACGACTAGACATATTAATTCATTTCACCATTTTCATAAATAGTATTTACCATAATTTTCTAAATAAAGTTTTGTGATAAAGCAGTAAGATTTAAATATTGAATAATAATTATCTTTGCGCAGGAGGATTTAAAAAAAATTAATTTCCCACAATCAATGCTATATTGCCATAGATTTTAGTGCTTTATTTAGCAAAACTAAATATCATATTCTGATGGGCACTGATTATTACCCTCCTTGTGAGCTTCATTGCAATTAGGTAAAAAGATCAAGATTGCATTTGGGTCTTTTATTGATTTCTAAATGAGAATGTCTAGATTAGCTTTGGAATTGTTTAGGTTATAATTTCAAAATATTTTAAATAACTTTATATATATTTATTACCTTTTTATTTTTTACACATGAAGAAAGCTTAAGACTACACACTCAAGGTAACTGGCTGTCCCGTACTTGTACCCAGGACACTGTCATTGGGAATGCTCCGATACCTAAAGGCACCAAAGTCTTCGTTCCGATTGGACAATTCCACAAAGACCCTGAGTACTTTCCTGATCCTGAAAAATTCGATCCAGAAAGGTTTTCCGAAGAGAATAAGGATTCCATTCCCAAATACACATTTCTTCCTTTTGGAGAGGGACCAAGGATATGTGTTGGTAAGTTATTCAATAAAATAATTAACTCAAAGCTAATTTTTTCAAGTTATTATTTATTGTATAAAATATGCTCATATATGATATAATATAATATACAATATAAAATATGAGAAAACCCTAAAATATTAGAACAATTTAATTTTTCTCAGATTAAGAAAAATGATACTGAATAAGGATATTTAGTTGGACGACTCAATTAAGACTTGAACGCCCTAGCGTTGGCCATAACGTTTTCAATAATGATAATGTAAAAGAAATAAAATGCTGGTAGACTATGGACTTAATTTATAAAAATAAAAACCTCTAGACACCAAAATTAGACATAATGAACAGAATAAAAATAAATAAATACATTTGGAAATCTTCTTATGTTAAATATATCTACGTCGGATTAGACATGTTAGCTCACCAAATGTTGGATGACTAAATTTTTTATTTTATTTTGTGTGGATGTATTTTTACTTTCACTTACCTATATATAAAATGTATAATATTACTTTCACTTACCTATAAATGAAATATAAAGTAAGGGTAAGTTTGCGGTCGTGAAAATTTTCGAATCTTAGTTTTCAACGGAAATACATGTTTTGAGGTCTCCCGAGCACAAATAGCTAAGTCCCGCGAAATAGTCTATGTGTTTGATAGCAATCTAGATCACAAACGAAATTTCATAAGAAAGTGAAATTGCATATTTAAGGTTTTCATATGCCTCAGATGTTACAGCAAATTTTTCCTTAAAATCGGTTAATCGGAAGTGGCACTTTAAATGAACAGTGATACACATTTTTACAATTTTCTCAAAAACGCTTCTAACAATATTTATTAAACTCGGTATATCATTGTATAATTAAGTGGTCTTTAATATCATTTAGGTCTTATTCCCATTGATGTCACTTTACAGGGCTTGAATACCCACTGGTCATATACGTCTTCCTCTAAAGTACTTTTAATATGGCGTATTTAAAAAAAATAACTTTCTTTTATTGACAGTAAGTATAAAAAATGGCTAAATATGAAGTTTGAAAGAATATGGTAATTGGAAACTGGAGAAAAAAAGAACAATGTTTATCCAGGTTGAAAATAATTCTTCGAAAATAACAGTCAGAAGGCATGCGTGTAATATATCGTTGGAAAGCGGAAAATTTTATAAAAAATAATATAAAATAAATAAAGTTGTAGAGGGTAAAGAAGAGTGACGAAAAAAAATATAAATAATGATTCCAGAAAACTAACATTATTTAACGTAAATCACATGTTGCAAATGAAATTTTCCTACTAAATGTAAACTTTTAAATTTGTTTCTAAGTTTGAAAAAAAGAATATTTAAACCCACCGAATCATGCCAATGCCATTCTTTAAAATACTATTTAATTGTATTTTTGTGAAAGAAGAAGTGAAATATTTTATGACCTTAAATACATTTGCTGTAGTTTACTAACTCTAGATATGATATTATATTTAAATAATTAGGTATCTATTGGCGGTTTATTACAAAACCCATCAAGTAATCTTTTATTAGAAAATTAAATTAGTGCATCATTTGATGAATTTTCCCAGCATAAAATCCCAACATTGTCCACTTACCATTAGTGTGACAATTTTTGACCATCCATGGCAGGCACTGAGAATCTCGCAATTTCATTTCAGTAAACTTTACAATGGAAAATAACAGTTTGATAACTAATAGTCCTACAATCCATAATCAACTAGAAATATCCAATTACTCAAAAATGTTGAAATTGGAGTTAGTCATTCTGTCAACTGAAAGGCTCAGAGACTTAAGTTATGTGGTTTATAAAACTAGATTTTTATAACCTACCGTCGATATAATAAATAGACTTTTTGTAATTTTAATGGTCTTAATGATTTGTATCTATTATTATCTGTAAGCTTCAAGCTTTACCTTCGTTTAAAATGCACTTCAAAATTTTTATAATAGCCCAACATTGCCAGAAAATAATTTCTATTCAAAGTAGATGGGTAAGTTGTGTGTTGCTTGCACTGAATTTTTTATATAAATGATAAACGTTTTTGACTCTCAAAGACTTATGAGTTCACCGCAGTGCTTGAAAAACCATCTAAAATTCGGCGTTTTTTTGGTTTCCGCTGTAAGATATACCTCTTTTTTAAAACAATATAAGCTAAAAAATGATTATACAAGACAATACAATTAGCAATATGTTTTTCTTATTTAAAAAAAACAAACAATATAAATCGATTGGTATAGAACAACTTAGAAATCCATGCTAAGCAAAGTGAAAAACCAATAATATACAAAAATGATAAAAGTTTATAAAAAAATTGTTCAGACCCATTCGCAAGAACCCTCTAGGTGTTAGGTTTAATATTTTTTGACTTTTTTGTATCACCAAAAAAAGATTCATTTAAATCAGTGACCCCATGAACGTACTTCCCCTTGTATGTGCTGTACCCAAGACCTTGCAAGGGTTGTTGTGGTACAATCTTTTTTTTTTTTTTCAAATACATTCTGCTAATATGAGAATTTTTTTTTTTGTAGGTTTCAAATTTGCTTTACTCCAGATAAGGTTGGCAGTGATATTCTTGGTTCTGAACTTTACCATTCTCCCATCCAACGAAGATGGCAAAGAGGAGATCGTGTTGGAAAACGCCCCCCTACCAACTCCGGCACCTACTTCCAAACTGAAGTTCAAACCAATCAACACCTATTGATGTTTAAATAAAACGCATTCGACGATTTCCATAATTTGAAGTATTGTTAAGCATGCATAATTGAAATTCGATATTATGGCGACAATAAGGGTAGTGCAAGTTGTTCCTCTAAATCCTACTTGAACGTTCCGTCAAAAAGGAATAGTTTTATGAAACACAATTGAAATTCAACTAATTTGATTGCTGAGACACTACTAAAAAATGACAGCTTTATTGTAAAATGAAACTATTCCGTTACCCTCTTTACTTTCTCAATGCTAAAAAGATAACTTAAGGCATTATCCATCAATGTTTATTAGAGAAGAAGAAACATCAAATTTTCTCTGCTATGAAATTGGCTAAAAGGAATCATTTTTCATCGAGTTTCAAAAACTATTCTCTTTTGACGGAGAGAAACGAATACGCATACCACCCTTACGATTCAGACTGGAAGTAACGCCATATTGGCAGTTTCGATCTCCACGAAGGCAACTTATACCTCACCCTCACTCGCTATGAAATGAAGTTCTAAATATAGGTGATAAATATTCAGGACGCAGTCATTATAAAGTTTTTATTGGTGGCGACGTTTGAACCCAAACATGTGGGCCATCATCAGGACGTGTTTCGAGCATTGGAAGTATTCAAGTACTAAGGTATTCAAGGAATACTTGAATACCTTTGTACTTGACCCACATGTTTGGGTTGAAACGTCGGCACCAATAAAAACTTTATAATGACATTATATTTAGCACCCATGATAAGTCGATAAAGTTCCTTCAATAAGAAGTTATAAATATCTACACATACTAATAGTTTTATATTACTGTATTTGATAACCTGTAGAATAAACTTACTAAATCATTTAGAGAAAAACAATGTTAAAATCAATATAATTAAAATTATTAAATATATATATATATATATATATATATATATATATATATATATATATATATATATATATATTTATATAGAAATTAGATTCCTTAGACACTGGAAAAGTGGGTTCGTCAATACAAAAAAAGATGGTATCCTCTCAGACGGTGAAATTGAAATTTTACAAACTGCAACAAAATACAGAATATTTCATTTTTTTTATCTTGTCCTACTGATAACTCCTGTACCAAAGTGATTTAATAATATTACTAAAAAAGTCTGCCAAGTGAGGTCAGTATAGCTTCCTAACTGTTTCCATTGACAAAAAAAATATTTATATTACAAGGTCTAAAATTTTTCGTATGAGAATAAAATATCTAGGAGAAGAAATTTTCGGAAATTCAATAATCCCTCACTATATAGATAGATAGATAGAAAAAAAAACTTTATTCTGAGACTAAGTCCCTTCAGAATAACAATAATGTACAAAATAATAGAATATTACTGGCCTGAACGTTGAAACAATAAATAAAATTGATAAAATAAAATAAAAAGTAAAGAAAATTTTAGGAGCACAAGCTATATACAATACAGATAAAACTATGTACAGAGCATTTTAAATTATGAACAAACCTTTATATGAGCAAAATATAAAGGTGTGTATCCACGAGTTTTGCTCATGAATGAAAACTAAAATGCGAAAGAGTTCCGCATTTGCAGATTTCATATTTGATGAATCGTGATTAAAAAAAAAATGCAGTATGCAGGAGTTCGTATGTAAAAATTGAGTGTTTTACCGGAGATCATAAAAACTAATTGTTTCTCTATGATTTATTAGTATAATTTCATATTTTATAGCCCACATTTTTTTCCATCATAGGAATCCAAATATATACTGAAGAAAAAAGAAGGTTTTATTGACACAGCTGAGGAAGGTTAAGGAACAACTGATTAGCAAAAATACAAGAAAGAAAAAAAAATTAGGATTATGCATAACTAAAATATAATAATACAAAATTATTATTATATTTATAGAATAAAAAGTATTAAATAAAATAACAAATTAATAAATCCAACAGAAAAAGCTCGAAGGTAACATCCATTGCCAACACATATTTTAGTTCAACTGTTCAATTAATTTTACTATTGCTCAAATTGTATAGCTTTAATTCACTTCAATGTGTTCTGTACTTCAGATTGTATTATTATTTTAACATAAAATAAGCTAAACGAAACCACAGTTCGAACAAATTTATAATTTCTTTATAAATTATATTATACATAGTGCCTTATTGCCAATTTATATCCCTACATATATTATTATATATTAAGGCTCGAAATCGGTTTTGTGCCAAATATAAGCTCCTGTCATGCTCAAATACCATGAATGGGGTACCGTTGGTTTCAGAATTTCACGGGAGGTTAGCGAATCGAATTCTCCACTTTCGTTTTTCTTTCTAAAATAAATAATGTCGATACAAACATTTTGCTAGGCTTCAATACTGGAACGGTGGTAGATCTATAGATCGAAGCGGAACAAATTGAACTTGAAGATTCTGATGCGTACAGCAAGACCCGGATAGTTCCTCCGGAAATATCGGATCCTGCATTTTTAAGCCCAAAAACGTACTATTTTCGAGAAAACGCAAGACATAGGGTTCACATCCACACAACCTTACGATAATTGTAGTACTGTCATTGAGTACATGTGTCTTTTCGTCTACTTCTCGAGCCATCAAGGCTTCCGAAATTTCTCCTTCAGACGGACAAAATAGTGCAATCACCCCGAAAATTCAGGCAAACAAGTTATAAAAGAAAACAAACTTCGCGAATAACTAAAAAAAGTACACATTTTCTCTCGGTTATGCCCATGGTTATATAAAAGATTACTAAACCCTACAAAGGGAAAAAAAATCATCGAAATTGGACATTTTTTTTAGAAAAGATACAGGTTATTGAAATTTGTAAACATGTTGGTTCCAAACATTAATGGAAATTTAAATTAATTTTTCTTTTGTTTTCTTTGTAGATCATATTTATCGATGAAGTAACAATTGATTTTTATAGCTTTTGATAAGTTGCATTATTTTATTTTCTTATTAATTTGGCATTTGATAACAATATCCTCTGCGATTTTTTCGCACGGGTCTAACAGTATGTAATTAAATGAACAGTTGTATAATGAGTGCTAAATATAGAGCTAATAGGAGAGCTCCTGTAATCTCCTACTCTCCTAATATTAAAATACAATGCAATATGAAAGCCACTAAAAACTTATTTATATAATAAAGATTGTTTTCTTTAACGTGTACAAGTTAACTATTATATACCTAGTTCTGCCATAAATACTGTCACAAAAGTTGAACTTTATTTCCATCCTTGGGTGTTATTTAGACTATCCTTACCTCTATCAGGTTATTTTCTTTACATGTCCGGATAATAATCCTAATTAGTTTGTATTTTTCTTTCTCTCAGTTAACATGGAGTGGGGCGATAAAGAAAACTGAATAGCTGTGATCGCCCTACTTTTAGTGGGGTAGAGAGGGTTCAAACAAACCTCATGTAAAAACGAAAGGATATTAATCCCTTATGTCTCTGTTGCAACTCCCCGTGCACCGTCAAAAAAATTCTTGTCGATTGAAATCCCCATGAGGCACTGAGGCCTTGAATCCTAAAAGTAACTAGGTTTTATTTCTTGTCTGAGAGCATTAAGGCAATGGCCTTTAAAACTAATTGCTTTAAGCTAATGGCCAGGAGAACTACCCGTCTTACAGGAAATGAGATTGTAGACCCAGGCCATTTCTAGTGATCCTGGATCAGACAGAGAGAATATGAGGAAAGGGAAAGGTGTAGGCAGGTCTGTGCACAGCCCCATTCGCAGGTATCTATAATCCCTTCCCCTCCTTTATTTTCTCTTTCATACCCTCTACGTAGCACCTCAATGCTGTCGCAACCCATATTGCCTCCAAGAGAGTAATATAAAAGATTAGTAAGGTGAGTTTTTATTCCAAATGTGGTGATTTTGAAGTTGACTATATCTTCAATGATCACATCAGCAGAGCACACAGCAACATTTACAAATTGGAGTAAATATTTTTTTCAGAACTTAAATGAAATAGTGATTCACTGATATATGTAAAGATTACAGGTCATATTATTTTAGAACATATCATTGGCTATGGAAAGATAAAGCTATGACAAAAAAAAAGGTTACTTTATTCTTTTATTCTAATTTCAACTAACGATTAGATCAAAACAAACTGTTGTGTTTTAACCAAAAACTATAACAATATATAGTTTTTTCGATATCATATTTAAATATTCAAATTACATTGGAACTGACTATTAAATCTGACAACCTAACACTTTATGGCAACTTAAGTAAGTGTATAGGTTAAATTTCCATTAATCAAAAGGATATCAGAATCGAAACCAATGTCAGATAAAGTAATAAAAAAAAATCAGTTAAAAAAAAAAAATCAGTTCTCCTATCATCCACATTCTCACGATAATCGATAGAAAGAGCATATTTCTGGAAATCTTAATAAGCACGCTATCATTTATATCGTTGATTGATCCCAAAATCATATGTTGATAGAGAAAAATATGCCCAAAATTTAAGTTTAAATTATATTAGTCTGTTCATTTACAACGATTTTTCATCGGAGTAGAATATGAAAAATAAAGAACAAGGTAAGAAATAATTTCTAACTTCACAGATGTTACTTACTTAGTGACTCCATGGAACAAAAATTCTGAAGATTATGAGTTCCTTGATGAATTTCATACCTCTTGATTCTCATTAATATCTAAGTTTCCTATTTCTTCTTGAAATATCAGCCTCATTGAATTGTTTTAATGGACGCATCTATCACAGTATGGATCAAATCACTGCTACTATCGCTATCTGCCGTTATTTCTTGTTATCACTTGTTCGTTCACTTAGTATCACTTTCACTGTTCCGAATATTATTTTCAAAAGTGTAAAATTGAGATTCTTGACACGATTTCATCGTGTTATATACTTTTGTAACAAGGAATGAATACCTAAATTTCTTGTCCTTTTTCGGAATCAAATCATATCCAAGATGATGTGAATTCTTCGCATATTATTTTCATATTCGTATGAGGTATACTGACAAATCAACTTATCCTCGTTTCTTTCTCCTTAG